TGTTGAATAAAGGTCGGTGATAGTGGACACCCTTGGCGAGTGCCTAACTTACTTTCAAAATAATTTGTGTACCCATCTTCCAATTTAACACATGATTTTAACTCCTTATACATACTGTTGATGACTTTGATGAACTTGTCACTCACCCCATCTCTGTACATTTTGTAAAACAGTCCATTCCTCCAAATTGTATCAAAAGCTTTTGCCAAATCCACAAAACACATATAAAGAGGCTGTGATTTTTTAATAATTTTGCCATTTTTTCTAATTTTGTTATGGTTATTTATAATAGACTTGAGAAAAAATACATGATCAGAGGTCCTGCAGTTCTTAAAGCCAATTTGATATTTAGTTTTAATATTATAATCATTAAGGACCTTGTTTAGCCTGTTATTCAGAATAATCAAAAACAATTTGTTATATCTCTATAGTTTGAAGGATCATCTTTGTTAGCTGATTTATATATTGGTACAATATATCCTTTATGCCAAAGGGATGGGTATTTTTCGCCCTGTAGTACTGTATTAAATATTTTGAGTAAATGATGTTTAGTGTACATGAAACTGGATTTTATCATCTCGTTTGAAATTTTGTCAAATCCACATGCTTTTCTATTTTTCAATGTTTTAATTGCCTCTTTGACACCCTTTTCCACTATTGGTTTATCCAGTTCATGTTGTGTACTTTATCTTTCCTCTTCTTTAATTCCTCTAATTTCTTTACAATTGAACCTTCAAATTTGTTATCATAGTTTTGTAGAATTCAGTTTTTTATAAAAATTAAACCAGTATTCCGCGGTTATCAAATTGTGCATACTTTGTTTTCCTAATTGTTTCTTATTGAATGACTTAATCAGATCCCACAAATTTTTATTGTTACAATTTCTGTCTTTTAGATGAGCAATTTTTTTCATAATTTGAGACTTTTGTTCATTTTTCTTTTTTTTTCATCATTTTTCGCAGTGTTTTCTTTGTCTTATAGTATACCTGTCTCATGTCTAATTCATTTGAATTTGCTTTTATCACTTTCCCTAAACGATTAACTTCATTTCGTAGTTCACTACATGACTTATCAAACCATGGTTTATGTTTGCGTTTACATTTGGATGCTGATATGACCTTCAGTGATGATTCACCAGCACTCACTAAAATATGAGTTAACTTATTTATGTTACAATTCAAATCTATGCTATTATCATTCATTTAATGAGTCTAATTCTAATTTAATCTTTCCACTACTTATTAATATGTTTTGAAATAAGCCACTTGATCTATCACTCCAAACAAATTTATCTACTAAATTTTGTAACTTATGTTTCATAATACAAACCTTACTGGTGGTTGTCTTCAGATTTATAATTAGAGAAATACCAGAATGATCCGATAAATAAGATATATTACCTACTTTAGATAAATTAGTTTATTTATGAGTAATTCATTGACGAGAAAATAATTTACTACACTCTGACCATTATACTTATAACAAGTATAACCATCTTCTAGATTGTCCAAAATTCTATCGTTTGCAACGCGCATTTGTGCTGTTTGACACATGTTTATTAAACGTTTAGGCTGACGTTTTTGAATTCTCTACTTCGGTTCTCTTACTCTGTCCAAGTTTGAGTTGTGCTGTGCATCCATTGTTACTGTCGGAATAAAAGGGTATTCTCTGTTTTGAATACTGATATGGTTACATTTGCGTAGTGTTTATCATCTACCGAATACAGTATTGGTTGATAGTTACAAGATTCCTGATTCAGTACATACCCCGCTATAATTTTGTTAATTTCAGAATCATAGCCATTGCGGGGATTAATTTTCTTATCACTGTTGTAGTTTGGACTGATGGGTACATTTTATCTGAGCTTTCTACAATATAATCAGCAAGTTTTCCTGTACGGGCATTCAAATCACCTGTTAATATCACATCTCCTAGGACACTATATTTTGATATATCATTTTCAATCTTTCTCATTATTTCTGAACTTGCATTAGAAGATGACTTTGGAGGGATATATGCAGCACATATGAAAATGTCTTTTGAGTTAATAAACATAGTTTTGTCCAGCTTAAGCCATAAATAATTTTCATCACCTCCGTCATAGATCTTGACTCCTTTTTTCAAACAAGATTTGATCATAATTGTGATCCCATCTTCATACTTTTTTCCAAGACCAGCAATATTCCATGTACCAAGTCCTAGGTTGCTTGAACTCCAGTGGATCATGTTGCCCTATATGTGGATGTTTTATACATAACCTGAGTGTCTCTCATTAGTATTTTCTGCAGACTGTCCCATATTGTTGACATAATTTAGGACATAATTACCCACCGGTGGCATATATGGGTTAAAGTTACTTTAATATTGACTATGTGGTGGAGGAAACATAAACAATGGGAATTGTATTTAGTCCTATTTTTTTTTTACTCTGATGAGAAAAATTGCCTCACAAAAAAGTCTGAAAATACAAGTGTCAATTTACGAGTGTAAAATGAAATTAAAAATTTTCAGATTGAACTTATTACAACAGAGAATTCATGAAATTGTGCATTTGAAGTCACTTTAGATAGATAACAAAATACTTTATATATCTCTGTCATATCACATTCCATATGCATGGGTAATTGTTTCATACTTTCTAAAGTAATAGAACAATTTTCCAAACATATTTATTCCCTGATGAGAACACTGGTAAATTTATTCACTGTGAACATCACATCACATCACATCACAGCCACCGTCGGGACTCAATCCATTACTCTTAATTGAAAATAACTTCAGGGCAAGCCAATGGACTTCTGTTGTTAGTATAAACAGGTATTTTGTCAGATGTTTTGAAAAAGACTGGGAATTATAACCATAATTGATCGAAGATGTTCATATCTGGAATGTTATTACGGGTAATTTTGAACCCAAAGGAAATACTGTAAAATTTCTCATTGACTGCAGATCTTTGGAAAAAATGTTCATTATTCAAAATTTGTATTAAAGAGTGAATTGGGGGTGGGGGGGGGTGGTAGTAAAGCTGACAGTTTTTTATAACACTGGGTAACCACTGACTGTTTCTATCATATTTCAGGATGTGCACTCTGCCAACAGTTGGGAAACTGCTAATCTTGGCGATGACCAAAGAAGACAAAAATTTCTCAGACTTATGGGTGCAAGCAAGGTAAACCAACTAGCAGTACATTTATT